TCCAAGTTGTCTGTTATTAAAGAACACAAAAGTATTTATTTCTGGCTTGCAGGTAGGAAAACAGGTAGGGAACAATACTTGATGGTGCAGGTGAGCTCTGGGCAGGCATTGAGCTGTGAAATTTGGGTCAGAAAAGGGAGAAACCCTGCTGAGCCTTATTTCTGTAGGGAAATGCTCACAGGAATAGTGGAAAAAGTGCTAAAAGCCAGCAGTTTTTAAGTCAATATGAGCTAGCTTAATTCACCCATTACACCAAAATTGTGTCTGTGTTGGTATGAGGATATGCAAAATTAAGTCTTAAAGCTTTACAGTGGTGGTAACTGATCAATCTACACTTCTAATGGCTTGATAAGACTTTATTTAATGCACTGGAAGAGTCAAAGAGAATGAAAAGAGTAAGAAATGGACAATGATGTTATTTGCAAAATGTGCTGTGTGATGCTGGCTGCTTTGGGGGCTAATTAGTTGGGGAAGTTGGGAGTTTTGGAGAAGTGTGTGATTTGCAGTTGCCTGAGGAAGCATCTCTCCTGCATGGGCAAATCTCTCTAAAGTGGAGCAATTCACCTCAGAAGACGATTCGAACTGCAAAATATGTGTATAGGGAAGAAAACAAGCTGTTGTTTTTTTGTTTTTTTTTTTTCTATTAAACACTTCCTCTGTTTACCATACTGTTGAAATAATGTGATCACCAGGTTCCACGCACTGCTTACAGTTGGCACAATTATTGCAGCTAAAATGCTGTGGGCTGAAAGCTGGAGTATTTCCCTTTTCCCCAGTTAAGTTTTAGTGAGATTTCCTAAAACTGAGAGATTACATCTAGGCTGCTCCTTCCTGTGTCACAGTAGGCAAGGTCAGAATGTTAGATGAGGATGCAGAAATCTGCTTTTCTTATAATGGATTATTCATTCATGGTTATTTGAAATTCCCATGGGAAACTGATGTTTTCTCTGTGAATAATTTCTGGCAGAAATTCTCTACCTGTCCTTCACTGGAATAATTACAACCTAGACAGCATCAAGGGAGGAGTATTTGCTCCAGTGAGTGAAACATTTCCACTTAGGAAGTCAATAATGCTGCTCTGGCAAGGCTCAGACCACAAGAGTGCCATAATTAATCTCATAAAGGTTTTGAGCAGCCCTTTCCTCCTGTTCCACATCTCCTCTGCAGAGGAGATGGGAATGCAGGATGCACTTGGTGCCTTCTTGTGTGGAAAATGGAATATTCACATTAGGAAGGCATCCTCACATCAGCCAGCAAGGGGGTGGTGTTGGTTTTTGCAGCACTGACAACTTCTGTAAAAGCATCCAGCATCACAGGTGTGCAGCTGAGTTCCAGCAGCATCCAAAATTTGTGGCAAGGTGAACGGGGAAAGTGTGGGTTTGCCTTTCTGGGACAGGGCTGGCTCTACTGTTGGGATTCTCTGCTGGTCACTTGTCAGGATGTATCAGTGCCAGCCTGCTCTGCTGTTTTCAGGTAGGGAGGGATTATCCTCCTTTATGCTGGAGGGATTTACGTTTTATGGGTTTGTGGGACGGCCTGGAATGTTCTTTGATCAATAATTGCTGGAACTGGCATTGCCTTCCTGGGGATACTGAGAGTTCTAAGCCTGTGGTGGTTCATTTGTTCCTGGGGAGAGGAAGAAGGCCCAGTGAAATGGCAGAAAAGTTAAGGCTGGGAAGTGTCTATCCCCATCCAGTGCCGTGTGGAATTTGTTGCTTCCTTCCCTAAGCATGGAATACCTTCTCCCACTGTTAGTACCCACCTCCAGTTCCCTTGGATGAAACAGGAAGGGATGGTGGTGGTTCTTTTTAGGGAAAAGCCCTGTAACAGTAATTGAATTGTGCTTTTTTTTTGCATTGATGGTTGTTGCCATTTGTTTTATCTGCTTGACTGCCTTGACTGGTTCATAGCAGCCTTTAAAAAAAACCAGTTCTGCCTCTTAGTTGAAGCAAAAATAAATAAATAAATAAATAGTCCATTTTATTCATCTCAGATCTGGAGGAAGAGAGAAAATCTCATGTCGTGGTTTTAAACCAATAACTAAGAAAATTACTTATTTCTTGCTGTGAGATATGGATTAGAACAAGAGCAAAACAGGCATAAAACTTAAAAGAAAAAAAAAGAAAGTTTATTGACAAACTACAATAACAAGAACACCAGAATAAACTTCCAGAAAAACCTTTTCATCCCCTGTCTACCCACTATTCCCTTGTTCACATGACAAGAGACAAAAACTTTGGAACTTTGATGGTTAAAACAGTCCCAATTCTTGCTACAGTCTTTTCACCAGTCTTTGTAGAGAAACAGAAGTTTCTTCCTGTTAATTTATGGAGTTTCTCACAAGAAAAACTATTTTTGTTATAGTTTTCCATTGCCCTAATGTTAGCTGCTCAGAGTTGCTATTATTAGAGCCCACTCCTCCCATTTTCACATCACTCTGAAGTGTGTATGGGCCATGAGTCTAGGGATGGGATTTTTAAGGATAAGTTATTCAAAGGCAAAAAGTCTTCTTCATCTGTTTCTGTGAGCTTCACTAGCAAACAGTTTTCTCATTGCCTCTCAAGGCTTCAAATCTTCCAGCACTTCACTGTACCATAATAACTCTACTTTTTACTCAAAATTTACACTTTGAACACTCTATTCCTCCCTATATACTGTCATGAATTAAAGGAGTGTTTTCAAGACCTTATAACATTTCCATATAGTTTTAACAGAAAGATATTTCAGCTTAATTAAAGCATCTTCTTAATTCTCTACCTTTTCT